CGATTCCTCAGCAACACATAAGCAAAAAGAAAAAAGCCGGAAGTGGCGCTGTGGCTCAAGTGGTAGAGCACCAGCCTTGAGCTGAGGAGCTTAGGGACAGCGCCCAGGCCCAGAGTTCAGGCCCCACGCCCGACAATAACAATGATGATGATGATGATGATGATGATGGTGATGGTGATGATGATGATGGTGGTGATAATGATGGTGGTGATGATGATGATGGTGATGATGATGATGATGGTGATGATGATGGTGGTGATGATGATGATGATGACGGTGATGATGGTGATGATGATGGTGGTGGTGGTGGTCTAGGTGCGGGCCGGTGGCTCACGCCTGCCATCCCAGCTCCTCAGGAGGCTGAGATCTGAGGATCGCAGTTCAAAGCCAGCCCGGGCAGGGTGGTCCACGAGACTCTCTTCATCCCCAGTGAACCAGCAAGAAGCGGGAAGTGTGGCTGTGGCTGAAGTGGCAGAGCGCCAGGCTCGAGTGGAAAACGCTAGAGGCCCCGGCCCCGAATCGGGGCCTCCCGACTGACAGGCCCCGGCACAGGCACGCAGACTCACACACAGCGCATGCGCCAACGCCTTCCTCGGCCCGGCGCGGGCCGGCCCGGGCTGGAGGAGCGCACCTGGCGGAAGTTGTGTGTCGCCCTCAAGGTGCCGAACCCGCCCCGGAGCCCGGCCACTTCCGGTCCGGGGGAGGAACCGACGCTTCCCGCCAAGACTTACCGCTCGGCTCGCCCGCTGCCGCCGCTGCCTGGGCCTCCGGACGCCGGGAGAGGTGCCAGGCCGTCAGCCCCGCTCCCGCGGCGGCGCCCACGGCAGCCCCGACCACGAAGCCGCGCAGGAATCGCCGGGAGCCTCGGAGGCGGGAAGCGAAACTCTTGGCGGCCATTTTGCTGGGACTTTAAACGGCCGCGCGTGCGCACGGCGGACCTGAAGCTGGCGAGCCAACGTCGGAACTGGGACGCGCATGCGCCGTCGTAGCCGACCTGGGACGCGCGTGCGCGGTCGCTTCCCCCGGGACCCAGCCGGCGTGGGACGCGCATGCGCGGTCGGATGGGAGGATGCAGGAGGCGGAGGATGCTGTGCGCAGGATGCAGGGGGCGGGCAGGGCCAGGCTCGGCCCCGGTGGGGCGCAGGGCGTCTTGGGCTCAAGGCTGGCGCTCCACCACTGGAGCCACGGCGCCACTTCCGGCTTTTCCTGTGTCTGTGGAGCGGACTCGAACCCGGGGCCTCCCGTATGCCAAGCGAGCGCTCCCCCTGGGGCCTGCGCGCGGGCCTGCCCCCAGTCCCCAGCAGCCCCGCATCTGGAGCAGGCTTGAATCTGAGTGCCGGGGTTGGAAGCCAGCCCTGGGCAGGAAAGGCCGAGACTCTGAGTTCCAATGAACCAGCAAAGAAAAGCCAGAAGTGGAGCTGTGCCTCAAGGGGTAGAGCACCAGCCATGAGTGACCAAGAAAGTAAGGACGAGTGTCCAGGTCCCGAGTCCAAGCCCCAGTACACACACACACACACACACAGGAGGGAAGGAAAGAAGGGTGTGAGGGACAGAGGGAGGGAAGGGAGAAGAAGAGGGTAGAGGGAGAAGAGAAAGGGCACTGGGGGGAAAGGGTAGAGGGAGGGAGAAGGGGAAGAAGGAAGGGAGGGAAGAAGGGAAGTCCACCCACATCCATGAGACCAGGACAACCAAGTTCTTTTATTATCGTTTTATTTTCATATACAAAAAGATAAAACTTGAAATAGTACTAGACTTCTCCTTCTATTCTGTTGGGGGTGTGGCAGCATCCTGGGGGAGGGGGGAACTACATTCACATGGGTTTATTTGAGGAGCCCCCCCCCATACAGAGTTCAAGCAGCGACACCCCAACTGAGCACATCTACATTTCAAACCGACACTCGTTCTAAAATTACCACAGGAAAAACAAAAACAAAACAACAACAAAAAAGGAGCAAAGATTCACTGCAAATTAATGATCTATGATACAAAGCGTCTTTCTTTTTTTGTCCCCAAATGTCTACTTTGGGCTATTTTTAGACTGTGTGTGTGTCTGAGTGTATGCACACTTCTCAAATCCAGACAGGGTTCACAACAGGCTTAATTCTTTGTATGGATATTTTCTTTAAAAGGAAAAAAAAAAGAGATAACTTCAGTACAACTTTTGTTAATTCAGTAGTACACGCTATCGTCTGCTTCTACAAAATCTTTTTATTTTATAGCTACAGGGGTTGAAAAAAGGGATGGGTCACATTTACACATCACATGTCCCAGTATACAAAAACAGGACTTCACAAATTTGAGCCAAATTAAAAAAAACATATATATAATATATGCTATATATATATTATATATATATATATATATATATATTAGAAGTCTTTAGTAAAACGGAAGACCTGGAAGACCTTCCCTATTTCTAGAATCTTCCAACATACACCATTCACCTTCCCAGAATTTGCTGTGACTCCTCCTTTCCAACCAAGGAATGGAGATACATCCCAAACTCTGAATGAGGATTCATCTACACAAGTTAGGGAAAAAAACAACAGCAGAACAGGACTCCATTGGCCGCTGTTGGGCCCAAGCATAGGCATTCTCCCCACGAGACCAAGACACGCCTTGGAGGTTTTCCTTCTCATTACAAATCAATATACAAAGGTAGAAGGAGCTGGTTAGAAACTGAGTATCTAAGATGGTAAATCAAAAGTTAACACTTTATTTTTTTCGGCTCAAGGCTGGCGCTCTACCACTAGATCCACACCTCCAATTTCTAGCTATTTTTTTAATGATTATTGTTGTTTGTTTTCTGCTGGTTCATTGGAGATCAGAGTCTCTCAGAATATACCTTTCCCAGACTGACTTCCAACCTCAGTCCTCAGCTCTGAAGCCTACTGAGCAGCTAGGGTATGAGCCATACACTGGCACCAGTGGCTCCTGCCCATTTGTAGGCCATGCTGGGTGCTTTTTCCCCTCCCTGTATGCCTCTTTATTTGATCCAGAACGCTCTTTCCATTAGAACTGCCCTCAGGCCCCACAGGGTCTTAAGTCCGATGGACAATGTTGTATAGGAACTCCAACTTCAGCTCAAGGGTAAACGTGCGAAAAGATTCACAGGTGACAAACAAAAACCCGGGCCTTATGTTCCCAGATCAAGTCTGATTTGCTCAGCAGATCTCTCTTGGGGAGTTGTAAACCAAAATAGCATTCTGGGAGCTTTTTAATCATTTTTGTCATGTGGAACTGAAATCTAGAAATGGTTCTAATCTGGGGTTAAGTTTCTCAAGTACCGTACGATTATCTTCTTGGGTTTTTTTTTGTGTTTGGGGGGAATTTTTTTTTTTTTTACAGAATTCTAGAAAACTAAAATAAAAAATAAAAGAGGCAAAGCAAGTCATTGGGTGTTTGTCCTGTGGTTCCTTCCCTGGTGGTTGGAGCAGACAGTTTTGACATCCATGACTTAGTTTTTGTCTCAGTCATGCTTGGTACCATGGGAAGGATTGTGGGAGGGTTTCCCCCCTTAGGGGGAAATTATTTGGCTCCACATTAAACTAGTGGCAGTGTTTGGGATAAATATACTTGTGTCCTTTTACTCTCGGATTAGTTTTATTTTTAGTGCTGGTCCTGGGGCTTGAACTCGGGGCCTGGGTGCTGTCGTGAACTCTTTTCACTCCAGGCTGGCATTTGACCACTTGGAGCCATCTATGGCGCCACTTCCAGTGTTCTGGTGGCTCACTGGAGATGAGAGTCTCATGGATTTTTCCTGCCCGGGACTGGCCTTGAACTGCAATCCTCCAGACCTCAGCCTCCTGAGTAGCTGGGATGACGGGTGTTAAGCCACTGGAACCAAATACCCCAGAAACCAAACAACCCAGCACACCTGGAGGACAGCACTCGAGGCTGGCCGGGCACTCGGCGTGTGCACACGCAGCTCAATGGCCACATCACACCCTGGTCTTCCCCTGCCGTCCATGCCCCAAGACCGAAAGAAAACATAAATTTACAAAATTGTATTTGTGGTGAATTCTGCTGGCTTAATTAAGCTTTCTTTGAACTGGGTTTTCATTTTCTTTTTTTCTTTTTTTTTCTTTTTTCTAAAAAAAGGCTCTTTAAAAAATATATACATATTTATTTCTTTAAGATACCTTAAAAAAAAAATGACAAATAGCCATACTCTCCAAAGGCCTGGTCTCCTAGCGACAGATGCCAGCTACATCTTCCCACAATGCACCGAGGTGGATAGTTGAGGTTTTTTAATCCTGCCTTTTTTTTTTTTCCTTTTTTCTTAAAAGAGGAATGTTCTGCAGCTGAGCTTCCAACGAACTTGGATAGAAGACCGCCCAGTTTGGCTGCTACGGCCTGTGTGTGTGTGTGTGTGTGTGCGTGTGTGTGTGTGTGTTTGGAATACTGGACGCTGCAGTGGCTACACAGAGCAGATACAGGAAGCACCAATCGAGACCGCATGTCACACCAATCGCACCACAGCGCCAGGGCCAGCTGTGGGACAAGGCCCCTGGGTATCAACCCTTGAAAGAGCTTTTGCCTGATCGCCAGGACCCAAGTGATGTCTGAGGTATAAGTGGTTCTTTAAAAAAAATAAAAAAAAACAATCCTGGATTACAAGAGTATACCCAGAAATTAAGAACTAGGAAGAAGGAGGAGGAAAAAAAGGCCAGGAAATTGGGCTAGAAAGGCAGAAAGAAAGAGAGAGAGAAAAAGAAGCTTACAGCAGTTGCTTTTGACAAAAATAAAGGCACAACAGAATTACATTCTAAGATGAAGAAGTTCTTTTTCATTCTTTTCCTGTGCTGGGGCACACAGGAATGCCCCCGCTAGCCCACCAGCCTGCTCCCAGACCTGCAGGAACTACACTTATCCCAAGCATGAAAAAAGCAGGCATAAAAACTGTACAGTAACCACAATACACATGAAAACTGGTTTGAAATGACACCTGAGGACCTTACTATTATTTTTTTGTAGTTGTTTTGTTTAGTGCTGGTACTGAGGGCTTGAACTCAGGGCCAGGGGTGATTATTATTATTTTTCACTCAAGGTTAAAATGGAACCCCTTAACCCACACACCTCCAGCTTTTCTTTTTGGTGGTTAAAGTGGAGATGAGAGTCTCACAGATTTGTCTGCCCAGGCTGGCTTTGAAAAGCACAATCCTTAGCTCTCAGCCTCCTGAGTGCTAGGATTATAGGTGTGGGGCACTGCCAACTAGATCTCTTAGATGGCCCTGTCTATGTTTCCATCCATCCACCCACCCACCCATCCATCCATCCATCCATCCAGGAGTCCATCCACCCATCATTCATCCACCCATCCATCCATCCATGAGTCCATCCGCCCATCATTCATCCATCCATGAGTCCATCTACCCATCATCCATCCATCCACCCATCTATCCATCCATGAGTCCATCTGCCCATCATCCATCCATCCATCTATGAGTCCATCCACCCATCCATCCATCCACCATCTATCCATCCACCCATCCATCCATCCATCCATCCATCTATCCATCCACCCATCCATCATCCATCCATCTATCCATCCATCCACCATCTATCCATCCACCCATCCACCCATCCATCCATCCATCCATCTAGAACCCATAGCTTTCAGTGCTTTCAGGGCCTCAGGGCTGGCCACTATAGATACCAGAATTTAGCTTATTCACTGTTTTTCTTTCCTCGCCAAAAATCCCATCCAGATATCCATCCCCACTCTACTCAAGAGCTGCACGGCTACGATGCACAGTGTCTTTCACTCCAAGGCCAGGATCCTGACTTGGTAGGCAACCCAGAAATCCTTGGGGACACCTGAAAAGACACCAGGCTGGGTTCATTGTGGGCTGACTCAGATGTCTGGCAGTGAGCTATCTCCAACAAGGCGCTGA